ACGTTGAAACGTGCACGCAGGAAAACCCACACACAAACAAAAAGCATCACTTAAAAAGCTCGAGGCTGGCAGTGTTTCCAGTCTGGTGAACGATATGAGAACTTTATTTGCTGATGTCTGTGCATGTGTGTTTGTGCGTCTGACAAAAAGCAAGAGTTGTACAGCATCTACAACGCTCAGGTGCCAAATCAAAGGACCACCAGTCTTTAGTTTAAACCAGACACCCGGAGCTACAACACATACACCCACACACATGCACAGCAGCAGCTTCCTTTATTTATCAACAAGAAAGTCGAACCACCCAGCATCCCTCCGTCCTGCTCCGAGCTAAATAAATAACACTCCGCCAGAAGCATCTCAAAACGTTATGCGGTAGCACGTTGCCTGATTCCAGCATTTTTCATACTGTTATTCCAAACTGAGAAGCTTTGCAGCACAACGCCAGAAATGATATAAAGACGGCATGTGGCTGGAACAACAGGTCAGGATACGGCTATATGAGCATAAAAGTCATGTGATCTAGAAAAAGCACTGTGCATGCTGGTGGAAGGCAGTGCTTTCAAAAGTCTGGCAACAGCTGTAGCTTCATTTTTCCTGGAAGTTTCAATTTTTTGAAATGTATTTCTGAGCACAGACCCGCAGTCAGTTACACACACACACACACACACACACACACACACACACACACACACAGAACTAGCAACAAAAACATCACTGTTTAGTCACTGCAGCAGCTGCCTTTATTTAAATACTTCCTTTCATAAAGTCTAGAGTGTGATTCTAGTTCAGTGATATTGTTAACTGATTTATTTTATTTATTTTGTCTTCTGGAAAAAAAGGCTCCCGTCTTTTACACAGCAGCAGGATTACTCTGTACTCTGAATCATGGTTTGAAAAGTTTGCCTTCAGGGCTTTTTGTTTGTTTTCTTTCAGATTATTTTTAGTTTTCAATCACATTTTTCGGACATCTGCTAAACCCATCCACAGCATACCTGGGGCTGCAATAAACATCATAGTTCTCTATAAGTCATTGCTTCTACTGGGACTGAGAGAGAGAGAAAGCAAGTTCATTTTCTTCTCTCTGCCTTTCAGTCAGTCAGTCAGTCAGTCAGTCAAGTGTCACAGGCTCTGGGCTGGAAAGCACTCTTATTTCTCTAAGAGAGAGTACAAGTGGAGACCTCCCGTCAAGGGAAATTAACTCAGCTAAAGGACTGCAGAGATTCTCTCGCACATGTTCACATTCAAAGTCTCATACAAACTCTCACTTTACTAAGTATTAATTCCCAGACCCCCCAACCTCCCACCCCCACCCTTAGTTTTAGAGAAAATTGCCTCTGTGTCGCCTGCATACATATGAGCTTCCTCCTTCCTACCTGAAATAAATGATCCATACATTTCTTCATGTTAGCCCGTGCAACAAATAACGGAGGGAAACAAGACTGCACTCTCCCATTTTTCACTGCTAAAGCTTAACATTCAAATTTTTAAAAACTAACTGTAAAAGAAAAAATAATAATGCAACAGATTTTGAGCACTGCAGCATTTTGAATCATAGCTTCTCGTTCTTTCTTTATAGCTTGGCTAGTTTCAGGTGGAAATTCATTCTCTGACTTTTTGCCTCATGTATCTTAGTTTGGGTCAGCCAGAGATGTTCACTTCATTCACATAAATTAATAAAGTTTTAAGGAAGGCGAGATGTTCCTGTTAGTGCAGCTGGAAAATATATTTTTTTAAAAGCACTAAATATTAATGGACCAAATTAATACTGCAATTCTACACGTGAGATGTCTGGACACAGAGACAAGATGTGCTGAAGCCTTTTTTAAACTGATCTGTATCAGCTGTGATCTCAGATTGTTAAAGATATCCTCTGTTTTCAAAACAGAACTTAAAAAACACGCCTATAACATAATATAAAGTTCTGTAGAATGTAGATAACGTGTTAAATAGATAGAGTAAAAATAGACGTGATCCAATGACAACCATCTTATTAGTATTTTTAATTTTAAATGAGCAAAATTTAGGCACACAGTTCCACTAACTTTTCCAAATACACTGCTATAAATAAGTACCTATAAGTACCTTTTAACCCACCCCCAAATACCAATTCTGTGGCCTGGTTTGTATTTCTGTGACAGTTCTTTTCTGTCCCTTTGCACACATGGAGTGTTTTATCTGATGTTCAGGGTAAAACTGCACCACATAGTGCATTTATATACGGTGAAGTGACTCCTGTGGTATCTGCTCCAATTGGCTATGTGTGCACCAGTATGTGTGCAC